GGGCCCGCGCAGCGCCGAGCCGAGGGCGCCGGTGGCGCAGGGCGGCAGCAGCGCGGGCAGGCCGGGCGGCGACAGCAGGCGGCCCTGCTCCAACAGCCGCAGCACGCTGCACGTGGCGGCGGTCTCCGACACCACGGAGCGCAGCTCCGAGTCCTTGCCCTGGTCCTTCTTCTGCTTGGTTCGCCGGTTCTGGAACCAGACCTTCACCTGCGCGCAGAGATGCGGGAGGGGAAGTGGGAGAGGGCAGGGAACGCGGGGTCAGACGCGGCGGGCGGGCGAGGGCCTGGGTCACCGGGACCCTCCCCACCCCGGCGCTCGCCGCAGCCCCACCCCGCCGCAGAGGGTCTGGGCTGGTCAGTTGCTGGCGGAGCCGCCACGAGGGGACAGCACTCCACTGGACCACATTTCCGGGTCAGGCAGGCAGGCCCAGGCCAGGGCAGGTTACAAAAGCAAAGTAAGGAAGAAAAACAGGCATTTCACTGGGCTGCGGCGACCCCCGCGGAGGAGTTTGGGGTTCACACGCTGGAGAATCAGCACAGCCCGTGAGCCTAAGGCCGGAGGTTGGGGGGCGGGGAGCGTGCAGGAGGCCAAGGTGGCTGGGGACAGTGTTTCTCTGCCTTTCTAGATCCCTAGCCCAATGAGTTCAAATTTAGCCCCAGAAAAACGTACTTGTGCTTCTTAGAGGTTCCGAAGGCCCGCTTTCTGCTTGTTAGGCCAAAACCTGACCCTAACCCAGCAACACACAGGGAAGGAAGGGATCGAAAGCAGCCGGTGGCGGTGGTGCGGGCGGAGCTCTTAGGCCAAGCCTTCGCCACCAGCTAGTTAAAAGGTCTGGAGGACTCTCAATTCATCACTCCCTCTGCACTCCATTGGGAACTTTGGAATCATGGAAGGAAGGCAGGAGGCTGAGGGAGACGAAGTACATTCCAGCCCCTTCCCCTTCTCTTTCTACTCTTCTAGCCTAGAATAGAGGGTGGTGGCTATATGGGGAAAAAATCCTGTTTAAATTCTGAAAGCTAAAGGGGGTTAACACGGACTATGCCAAGTCAAACACAGATTTTCCTATCTGCTCCGTCCTCATTGTGCATTACTCAGCCCGGATGTTGGGCCTAAAATGCCGTGCACGTGCTTGAGGGCTGGCCATAGGGAAAAAGACTAAAAAAAGAGAACTGACCAAGCCCTAAACAGCCCCCTTGGGGCAAAACCTTCCTCTGGGTTTCATTTGCTCTGGGCCCTCAGCTCACACCAGCAGCTCCAAAACAGCATGGAACATAAAATGCAAAAGATGCAATGTGCAGGGCAGATCCCTGTCCGCGGCACAGGGTCAGCGCCTAAGGAACCCCAGAGCACTGCTCGGGCTGGCTTTTAAGGGTGGAGGCTGCCAGATTTGCACAGGCTCTGAGAGTTGGCACCGCTTTCTAACCCTACTTCCTGCAGAATTGATCTGGGTGCTGGGGAAAGCTAAAGCCCCAAAACGGGGTGTTACTGGGACTATAGCCAAGATGGTATGTGTCCAAACTGGGGAAAGCAGCCTTTTGTAAATCAGAAGCCATCCAAAAATTCCCAAGTCTGAGAGCCAAAAGGGACAGACTACCGGGCCCGCTTGGCCAAGCCTAGGTGTACAGAAATTAGACCACGGAGGATTTGAGGGTGAGGACAGGAAATGGCAGTTTAAGAAAGAAGGAAGAGCCTGAGACCTTCACCCCATCCATTCCGTCTCCCCCACGTCTCTGGGAGGTTCTGTCCAAAGCAAGGGAGACAGCGAGGAAAGGCAGGGTGGAGCGCTGGAGGGGAGAGCAAGCCTGGTGCTGCGGGCAGCCGGGCGGCGGTACCTGGGTCTCGGACAGGTTGAGCTGCCGGGCCAGCTCAGTTCTCTCCCGGCCCACCACGTACTGGCAACGCTGGAACTCCATCTCCAGCCGGTAGAGCTGCTCCGCCGTGAAGGACGTGCGCGTCCTCTTGGGCCGGTCGAGGTCCAAGCCCTTGGGCAGGATGATTTCTCGGATCGAGCCCTTGGCATCTAGGGAAGGGCAGACATCAGCCCCCGGAGCCGCGGCTTTCCTTTGCCTCCTCCCCCGAGCTAGCTAGGGACAGGGTCCAGCAGGCTGAGGCGGGTGCCCGCGGTGGCCATCAAGCCGAGAGCCTGTGGGTGTGTGGAGGCCAAGGTGCTAACTGTAACCCCGTCAGCTGGAAGAGCACCCAGACTGCCATTGTGGGGTGTCCAGACCCCGGAGGAGGGTAAACCTCAGTTCCAAACGGGTGGCTGTTTCTTCCCGCCAGGGAGCCTGTGCTGCGCGCCCAGTATTCCGGGGGGGGCGCCTACTGAGAGCCCAGCCCAGTGCGGTCCCGACTGCAGCGCAGCCTTCGCTCTACGGTCCCCACCCCCACCCCGGGTCCCCGGCCCGCTGCGGGGCAGGCGGCGGAAGGAGGAGGGACCCACCGTCCGCCCGCGGGCCTGGCTATCTGCGAGCGGGGGCGGCGCCGGCTGAAACCGGGCCTGGGCGCCGCCGGTGCCGGGGAGGAGCGCACGACACTTCTTGAGCGAGGCCGGGCCCAGCCAAGAGGCGGCCTCCGCAGCCCGGAGACCCAGCGGTGTGTGCAGGCGGCAGCGCGCAGGCCGGGGGCGCAGGCCCTCGGCTCCGCCAGCTCAGGGGCCGGCGCTGCCCCGCGCGGCCGAGGGCTGCCTTCCGCGCCCGCGCTCCCCTGGGCGCGCTCTGCCCTCCGGGGCGCAGCAGCCCGCAGGCCGCCGGCAGCAGGCCCCCGTCCCGAAGGGTGCGCACTCCCGCCCGCCGGATTCGGGTCCCAGCCGCAGCTCGGTGGCCCTTCCCCTCCGCGCAGCGCCGGGCCCCTTCCCAGCGGCCGGGAGAGCCGCGGGGCTGCGAGGGCCGAGGCTCGGGGCAGCGCTGTCCGGGGAGCCCGGGCACGCTTCCCCGCGGCCCCCAGAGCGAGGACCAGCAACTTTCTCCCGAGCGCTCGCTCGCAGCCCCGGGCGGCGACGCGCGGCGGCCGGGGCTTCCCCCAAAGGACGCGCCCCGGAGCCCAGCCCGCGCCTACCTCGGACCAGGATCCGGCGGCAGTAGTCGGGGTCGGCGGAGGGGCTGGCTTTGCTCTTGCTGCAGTCCTCCGCGGCGCCCGCCGCAAAGGCGCCCTGCGGCTCCTTGAGGAAGGCGGCGGGCAGGCTCCCCTCGGCGCCCTTGAGCTCGCGGCTCTCCTTGTGCGCGCCCTTCGGGACCCGGGCGGCCTCGGCGTCCGAGTGGCACCGGACGTCCATCTTGTCTGGCTTCCCGAACATCGGCGAAGCGGCACAGGCAGGAGGAAGGGGAGGGGGCGGGAGGAGAGGCGGCCGGGCCGGGACCCCCGCCTCGCAGCCCCGCGCGGGCGCGCCGGGACGGGGGGTGCCCGCGGGCTCCTGGGCGAGGCTCAGCGGCGGGGGCTCGGCGGCGGCCGGCTGCTCCGGGTCCCGCGCGGCGTGGCCGGGCCGCCTCGCTCCTCCGGCCGCGTCCGGCGTCCCCAGCCCGGAGAGCGGGCACCACGGCGCGACTCCGGGAGGCGGCGGCTCCGCCCGTGACCGCGGCGCCCGAGTTGTGGAGTCCGGCACCGGGGACGCAGGCTCGCTGCTGCAATTGATTACGGGTAATTTCGCGGCCCCCACGTTTCAGTTACCTCATGAATACACTAAATTGTTTGGATAATATATCAGATCGTAATGGATGGTTTCTGTCCTTGTCCCCAATCAAGCAGGGGTTTAGCCAGTGAATAAACGGAAATGATTGGTCTTGCTTTCGGGAAACACAATCAAAGACCCACACTTCCAGAAAAACTTTTGACAAGATTCATCCCGAATTGTTAGCGCCATTAGCAGGCATTATTAACTTTCTCTTTGCCTTTGACCTTCCTGCTCACATACTGGCTAAACGGGGTTTCCTCCAGCCTGGCCAGATAGCGCTGGGGGGGGGGGGGGGTGCCGCTCAGTCCCCGTAGCAGGAGACAGCAGTTGCCTCCGGGTGGGGAGAGTAGGGGGGAGAGAAGTTCCCCCCAAGTCTCTCCCCCGCGCTCCAAAAAGCCCAGCGCTCTCCCAGCGGCTTCTTAACACACCTCCGCGCCGACAGCCATCTTAAACTGCCGCCCCTCTTCCCGTACCCCGGTTAGATTTTTTTTTTTCATGCCTGCACCTCCAGCAGCCCCGAGGCAGCCCATTCAAAGGGCAGCTTTGTACTCGGAGTCCAGCAAGAGGGGGGTGAAGGAAAGGAGGGAGGGAGGGAGGGGAAAGAGGGAGAGAGAGAGAGAGAGAGAGAGAGCAAAAAATCTCAACTGTGAGATCTGCTTCAAAAAAAAAAGTTTCCCCCTAGCTATTTCATTGTCTTGCTACAATGTCTTTGAGAAAAGCAACAGCCAGTAATCCAATAACAGCATTGATTAGGCCACAATGATTCAATTCAGGCGCGCGGCCTTGTGCGCGGAGCCTGCTCCAGCCCTCCTCGTCACCTTGCCGGGGCAGAAGCCCTCTCCACGCCGCTCTCCCCATTCATTCCTTTATGGGAAACGCGGAGCAAAAGGAGTGAAAGATGGCAATTATCTAATTGGACTATTAACAAACAGTCCTGTGAGTGCGGCGGTCTGGCGTGGCTCCTGGGCGGGGGAAGGGCCGCGCTCCCGGCCTCATTCACAAAGAGCGCTGGGGCCGCGGAGGAAAGGGGCTTTTAAAAGGACTGAGGGGGTGGGCAGGAGAGGTGGGAGGTTTGGCTGAGAATTTTTCCACACAATTCCGAGAATGGGGCGGAGGCGGGCGGGGAGGGGCCAGTGGGGAGGGCGGCCGGTGTGCCGCGGCCGGGAGGGCTCCGCGCCCGCCCCGCCGTCGGCTGTCCTCGAGGCGGTGGAGGGCCGGGCCCCGCTCCTCCCGCTCCTCCCGGGCCGCTCCCTCGCCGCCGGCGCCTCGGGTCGAGTCCAGGGCACCCTCGGGGTCGGGCTCTGCGACTGGGGTGCTGGGTGACGTCCGCTGGGCGGGCAACACCCCGAGGTGGCCCACGGAGCCCCAGACGCGGGTTCCGGGCGGGCCGCCTCCCGGGCCACCCGCGGGGGACCCGGCTGGACGGAAGACAGGCCCCTCTGCCAGCCGGCCACCGCCTCCACCGCCGCTGGACCCGACGCGGCGCCGCTGCGGGGTGGCCCGACCCGCTTGCTGGGGTCCGCCCTGTGTCTGCTCCGCTGCGGGTCGGAACTGCAGCCCGGACGCACGCGGGCACACGCGCCAGGCGGGGCGGAGCGGCACGGCCAGCGTGCGGCGTCCCGACTCCTCAGAGTGCAGCTGAGATCCCGACGGCCACCCGGGGGTCCAGGCCGAGGCCTCAGGGCTCTGCCGCCTGAGGCGGGGCGTCCGCAGGACAGCTGCCACCCGCCAAGCCAAGGCCGGCAGGGCTGTTTAAAGGAAGAGAAGTGGGCAGTCCACCGCTTCTTTCCGATTTCTAGAGAGCCGGCCCTCCCCCTCCCCCTCCCCCTTCTTAGAGACAAACTTAGCCTATTTTGTTAGCCAGAGCGTTTGTGGGTTCGGTTGATTCTCTTGAGCGCTGGCATATTGTCCAATCCCAGTTAACATTCTTGAGCCGCTCTCGGGAAGGTAACAGCCCACGTTAGGGCTACCTGAACGAACGGAGGCTCTGGGAGTTCAGTGACTTGTCCAAAGCTCGGGTTAGTGAACTCCTTTCTGGCTGACCTCACAAGTGTCCGGGTCTTAGAAATTTCTCAGGACCAGGCTGCATTTCCCAGTCACTCCAGGCTTTGAGTTTTACAGAATTCCCAAGGGATGAGATGTAGGTTAGATCCCTTAGTGTTGATGCCAGAACATTCTGAGTATTTGACATTCGTTTTCATTTCGCCTCCCGTCCAAACGACATGAGGCAGAGGCAGATACGCGAAGGTTTGCTTCTGGCCCTGCTGTTTAGTACCAGCAGGACCATTTCTTAGGAGCCCAACCTGGTTCGGGTGAATAAAGTTCAGTTCCCTGTGTCTCAAAGTTGTTAGGTGACTGTCTGGGGCCAGAGCTCAAGAATGCATATTTCTACTGGCTAGGGAAGGCGGCGGTTCTTTTTACAACTTGGTTGGAAAATTGTGCCTTTGGAGTTGGGGACACTACATCCTGAGGGCAGACACACTTGTGGGTCTACAAACACTCGGTGAGAAAGAAGGCTGTGGAAGTGCCTGGCTTGATGGAATTTATCAAGTTCTGGAAAAGCCAGGACCAAGGCAGCATTCAGGAGCGCTCTCTCTCTCTCTCTCTCTCTCTCTCTCTCTCTCTCTAGCTGTTCCCATGATCTAGAACAAACCAATTAACTATGTGAATCACTGGCTTTAGTCATAGCTCCATATCTGAAGCACAAATAATATTGTTGTCAGATGCCCACCCAGGCCCCAAGAACTTGAAATAACAAAATTAAATAAAAGTCAACTACCAACTACATTTTCTTTGTTCTGTATAGGGATCTGTGCTTTTCCCTTCCTTCCTCCCTCCCCTCTGTCTCCCCTTTCCTCTCTCCCCCAGCTTCCTCTCTCTCTCTCTCTCTCTCTCTCTCTCTCTCTCTCTCACTGGATTAAAATTCTGTGGGCATCCATCCAGAAAAACCATGACAGGTTTCCCAGAGGACACATGGAGAATGGAAGCCCTGGATGGAAATCTCAGGAAAGCAGCTGCTGCCCTCAGCCAAATGAAAGCTGTGTGTCCATTGGCAAAAGAAAGGAGGGAACTCACTCAATTGTTTGGATAATCTGAGAATCGCCGGTGCTGTGCAGCACGCGTGAGGACATGGGGCTGCTCCAGGTGAAAGTGCTTTATTCCTCTGCCTAAATTCTTCTCCCCTCCCGGTGCCCTGCTGCACCCACAAGTCTGTCTGCAGCTGCAGAGAGACTCAGAATAGAACTGCAGAGCTGGAAGGATTTTTAGAGATCTTCCATTCCAGAACCTTCATTTGAATTGACAGATGAGGAAAATGAGCTGGAAAAGACAAAGCTACTTATTAAGGGTTAGACAACAGGTTCCTGGGGGCCTCTGGGCTGCAGTCCTGATCTCCCAACCTTGCCCAGGCTTCCTTAAGAGAATGCACTCTTTGGGCCTGGGTGAGATGATGCTAGCGAAATGAATGTGCCTTTCATAGTGTAGGCCTCTGCACACTTTCACAGGGGCATTAGAACTGCAGGATAAAGAAGGTGCTGAGCAGTCCTCCCTCATCTTCCCAAAGGAAATAGGAGGTGAAATTTTCTGGAAAAGAGATCCAAGACCTTCTTAGACTGTGAGGAAGACTCATGGCTTCCTGTATCGTATTTCAAAAAGAAGTTGCATCAAAGAAGAAAGAGGCCAGCAGAAAGGAAGTCTTTCTAAGAGTAAGCTGGGGTTCTCAACATACTTAACTAAAAACCAGGATAACTGGCATTTACACAAACTTTCATCCGCAAAGTTGCCAGCGGTGGACAGCTCACTCTTGCCAAGTTACTTATGTCCCTGTCCTGCAGGAAGCTGTTGGGGCAATGGAAACATAAATGAGCCACAAGCTTTGCTGAACGTCTAAAATGGAGCATGTAGTTGTACATACGGGTATTTCTGTCCTGTTCCACCTAAGGACCAGCCGGTGTACCGGTGTACCGAAAGGCAAACTCTGGATTAGTCTATTTACATTTAAAGCGGTGGGTTTCATGTCTCAGCCTTGAATAGCACATCAAGAAATCAAGCTTTGTCAGTGAATTAATGTTTTGAATATGAAGCATTCCGTTGTAGGTGATATTACTTACTTAGAATGATGATATTACTTAGAATGATATTACTCAGTTTTTAAAAAATGGAACAAAAGCAACCAAAGAAGTGGAGTACATATGGAGTTTGTAGTCACTCACATTACATAATTCATATGTACAGCTCCCTCCCTCCAATCCTTACTAGACACTCATTTCTCTGTGTGACTCAGTATTTTGTCTACAAAATAAGTTTAGCTCAGCCACATGCGAGCATCAAATAACTAAAATCGAGTGCTTTAAGTGGTGCCTGGCAGGGTGAGAGCACTGTCAATAAATCTTTGACATTAGTGTCCTCATCCATGCACCTCTGTGGGATCAGTCTTAGGTACCTAGAACAAGAGACACCAAGAAAGAAGCAGGAGCCAGCCAGAACAAACGACTGCTTCTGGGAGCAAGTAGCAGAGGTGGCTGGCTTGAGCATCCAGGACATAAGGGTGCCATGTGCTCCTTAGGTTCTCCTAGCCGGAAATGTGCTGCCATTCCTCCCATCAAGGGCTGTACCTGATTTTGGGTAGCTTTGTCATAGCCTTGATCAACAAAATTGTATGGAAGTGGCCTT